AAAGGTCAGCTTCTAAAAATTCTACTACAAGTTGTTGTTTTCTGCAAGGAAAACTGCTGCCGTTAGGAGTCATTGAGTATATTTATCACCTATACTGACTTTCAGAAAGCAATGGTAAATGGACTCTACTTACACAGCACCTTTCTATCTTATCAAAACACTCAAAGCTCTTTACACTATAATCTGTGCCCTCACTTACTCATTCATACAGCACTCTACTAGATCTCAAGACTAATCAGAGCTTTATCACATCCATATACCAATGGGACACACATCAGAGGCAATGAGGGGTTCAGTGCTTCTTGCCCAGGGACACTTCAACATGTGACTGCTGGTGGAATTGAACCCCCAGCTCTTGCATTGGAGGATGACTGCTCTAACCATTCAGCCACTGATGCACTATTGCCCTAATCAGTGGGTAAACATCTACAACTTATTAACTTTTAGATTCAAACTAATTCAAGATGACTCTCAATTTACATTGAGGCTCCTTTGCCTCCAGTGCAGAATGTAGTAATTTTGATGAAAAGTTTTGAGTTGTTGACACAAACTATTGAGAAGCCACACTAGAGAACAGCATTCAAGTAAACATTTCTCCATGTTTCATTTAAAAGCTGTGTTAAATTTGGTGGCCCACCTGGAAACTTATAAACTTTGCTTTACCCTGGAAAATATCAACAGAAAGACTTATTATCCTTTACCCATACATGACTGTGATCTGGTTGTGTAATAATTAATTTAGGTGTAATAAGTTATGATCTCGGGCAGCACGGTGGCGCAACTGGTAGAGCTGCTGCCTCTCAGCGAGCAGGTCCCTGGTTCAAACCCCGGTCCAGGGGCCTTTCTGGGTGGAGTTTGCATGTTCTCTCCGTGCATGCGTGGGTTTTCTCCGGGTGCTCCGGTTTCCTCCCACAGACCAAAAACATGCATGTTAGGCTGATTGGTAACTCTAAATTGTCCCTAGGTGTGAGTGAGAGAGTGAATGGTTGTGTCTCGTTTGTCTCTATGTGTCCCTGTGATGGACTTGCGACCTGTCCAGGGTGTACCCCACCCCTCGCACAGTGATTGCTGGACATGGGCACCAGCGACCCCCGTGACGCAAAATGGAATAAGCGGGTAAAGATAATGGATGGAAGTTATGATCTCTTTTTGTCTTACCAGTACTATTAAACAATGCATACTTATCACATGTTTGATGACATGTGCCACCAGACAGACAAGTCCATTCGTTAGAAATGGCAGAACTGGTTTAGTGTCAGCACATACACCATTTGCTGTTTTCCTTCTGTGTCAGTGGGACCTGGTGTGCAGCAGAGCTAAACTCAACAGTTACGGGTCATCTGTCTACATGTTTGGTCTGTTGGTGGGATCTGTGGTGTTTGGAGCCATGGCTGACAGGTAGGCTTTCCTGTTACTGTTTCAACCTTCAGTCTCTCATTCTGTATAGATCATCTTTTAGCTGTTCACTTTATTTTAGGGGGTCTCCACAGAGTCATCCTCCTCCATCTCACTCTGTCCTCACTCCAACTACCTTCATGTCCTCTCTAACTGCATCCATATATCTCCTCTTTGTCTTTTTCTTGGCAGCTGCATTTCTAACATCCTTCTACCAATATACCCACTGTCCCTCCTCTGGCCATGTCCAAACCACTGTCCCTCCTCTGGCCATGTCCAAACCACTGTCCCTCCTCTGGCCAAGTCCAAACCACTGTCCCTCCTCTGGACATGTCCAAACATCTTAGTCTGGTCTCTCTAACTTTATCTCCCAGTTGTTCAACCTGTGCTGTACCTCTGATGATCTCATTCCTAATCTTATCCATCCTTGTCACTCCTAAGGAGAACCTCAACATCTTCATTTCTGCCCCTTCCAGTTCTGTCTCCTGTCTTTTTGTCCATGTCTCTGTCTCCAGACCATATGACATAGCTGGTCTCACCACTGTCTTGTAAACTTTTCCTTTGACCTTTGCTGACACCCTTTTATCACAAATCACTCCT